CCAAATCAGATTCAGAAGATGAACTTTCAGAACCAAGATTTATAATAACTGGCTCGATCATTTTATCAGTAATATTGTCCAGCTTCCACATTTTTTCCTCTTCTTTAATTGTGTGATTTACTGCCTTTTCCCAGCTTTCAGGTTTTACATTATTTATGGCCTCCAAAAACAACTGTTTAACATCATGAATTTTAAAAGTGGTATTTTTTCTTGAAACTTCACTCTTTATCTGTGCCCATACCAGTTCAATCGGGTTTAATTCACAATGATATGGTGGGGATCTAAGTAGATACTGTCATTCCACGATGTTTGGCAATTTCATCAATTTCGTATTTTTTAAATTTTTCTTTATGAAGGGCACACAACAAATAAAGTTCCTTTCTTATAGATCCGGGATGGTACGTAATATTTTTTGAACTCAGCCAATTCTGCAAGTCTTTTTTTAACCACTTGGTTGTGAGCAGTCCTTCTATAAGTCTGGAGTGATAACTTGCATTATCCATTACTATTACACAGTTCATAGGAAGAAGATCTATCATTTGTTCGAACCATTCTTGAAAGTCATCAGCGTTCATGTCTTCATGGTAGTCACCGGTACAAGTTGATTCAAAAGTTAATAAACCACCTTCAACAAAACCGTCTGAACTGCCAATGTGTACTATTATCAGCCTGCGTCCCTTTCCTGATGGTGGGTTTAGACCAGTAGATAAGTTATTTACAAAAGCGTGCCTTTGACTTGTAACAGTTTCATCCTGCCAAAATTTATTTGGTGTATCACCCTCGTTGATCTATGTTTCATCAAGATAAAATATTTTTCTTTTTTGGTTTCTCATTTCCTTTATGGTTCTTAGAAAATGTCTTCTCCATATGACAATATCGCTTCTTTCTAATAAAATAGACTTCCTGGGATTCTTTTTCCAGCGGAAGCCTATTTCTTTTAAAACTTTTCATAACGTACTTTGACTCATTTCTGGGTAATCCTTATCATCTCGAACTGAGACAAGAACTTTATCCAATGTTGGAAATTCTTGTCTAAAGAAGAATTCATGCACTTTCCGTCGAAGTCCTTCTTTAAAATGATATTCTATTTGAAATTTTGGTTTCCCTGGAGCATTACGTGGCATTTGAAAACTACCACATTTCTCTTCTTTAATAACTCTGTAAATCGTAGATTTCCCAACACCAAGTGTACTGCTAACTAACTCAACGGTCTCATCAACACTTTCACATAAACGTTTGTCTGTAAATGATTTAAAACAATTAAATATTAATGTTTTTTCATTAACTGTTAAAGGACCAATTTTTCGGCGTTTACACGGCATGCGGCACTTCCAAATTTTCCATAACACTAGTATACACAATAAACTGCACCTTGCAACTGAAGTACCTACTTTTAGTGAACTGTTAAGAATTTTGAATACGCCACTTGGACCTTCCTACAAAATGGAAAAACCCACTATCACATTTTCTGTGGAATAAGTTTAGAAGGTAATTATCTAGTCAATTACTGTCGTAGATTCCTGGAATTAAAGAATTAAATGTTTGATTGTTGAAACCCTTACTTCGTGGAATGCACTCATTTCAGATAAAATAAAACGTTTTATTTTATCTAAAGAATTAAACTTTATTTTGCAAATAGGTAGGTACTTATTAAACTTTTATTGGTTATATATAACCAATAAAATAAACATCTTACATTTCTTGCAAATTCATTAGTACCTGTTAACCTCCATCACTCCGACACTGGCAACCTTATTTAGGGATTAGTAACCCTCACAACTATTGTATTCTATTCTGCTCCAACCTTTATACCTGGTGGTCATACTCAATTTAAAATTGTTTTCCTATATACTTCTGTAAACTTGTTGACAAATATATGTTTTTCATTGAGTCACTCGTATCAACAGTTTAGGGATTTGCATACATAATTTATTGTTTTATTACTCTCTCATACATAAAAATACACTATAAGATTTGTTTTGACCTTTGGATCCTATATAACTTTTTCTAGTCTACGCTTGGCTTTTAAGTCCGCAATTTTTTTTTTTCTTCTTTGTGTCTTCTAAAACCGTTTTCATAGCGGTGCCAGTCAAAATTACTGAGTGTTGTTTTCTGGAATTTTTTGGATTTGGTTTATCATCATTAAATAATTTTGGAAGAAGTGATACTGATTCCCAAATGTCTTTGAAATGAGACAGATTCTCAGAGGATTTTGGATAATAGTTTGGTATAACATTCGTTTTCGAACTACTAGGTAATGAATTTTCATAAATCCCACTTAATTCTAAGCTGGTTGTTGTCTTGGGTCCAAATTTCTGTACAGTATCTTTTGGATTATGGTTTAAAATCTGACAAGTTTTCACACAAGTCTCATTAGTGCTTGCAAGCTCACTAGTGACATTATGATTCTGTTCATCACGAGTTGCACTAAGTGCTGGTTCACAAACATTTTCAGAGTCAACGATGACTGAAGTTTGAGTTCAGTGACAAAGTCTATATCAGTAAATTTTTCAGGGTTATACGGAAAGATCCCTGAAGCGCTAAACCCTGAAACTCATTTATCCATCGTTGCGACTTTCAAGTAAGCTTAATTAAATATAGATGCTATGTCATACATAGAAATCTTCTGAAATTTGTTTTCCCTCAAGAACCTGTCACGCTGTATGTTGAATGCTTTCTTCAGGGGGCCATAAAACGACTAATCCAAAGGCTGTAGTTTAAGTGATGTAAGGTGGTATTGACACAACATGTATATGATTAAATCTACAATAATCTAGGGATGGGAAAAATCTACCGGTTTTAACCGAAAACCGGTTTTTTTACTTCAAAATAACTGGTTTTATCGGTTGTTTTTTTTGCCCCGGTTATAACCGGTTTTTTTATTTTTAAAGTAAAAACCGGTTATTAGGTTTTTACAGTGAGTAGGATTAGGTTAGGTATTATTTTGGATCCCACCCAGTCATAATTATTATTCTCAAGTAATTATTCCAAACAAAACTAAAATTCAATTTTTATTTTATTTTATAAATACAGAAGCAAACTGAAAGTCACTCACATCAGCCAGAAACAATTAAATTGTATTATAGTATTTCGTTGAAAAAGTATTGAAAAAGTATTTGTAATCATAATATTCTTACATAAGAACTGATCTGGTATTTATACATCATCTATTTTTCACACTTGACTCTTGACATTGAAAGTGGGTAAATGGCTTTTTCTAATTACCAAAAATAATGACTATTAATATTAAGTTACCGATTACGAATACGAATCTCCAAGGATTTCCCTACGTTTTCAAAACGATTTATACCCATACCAGAAGTTGTAAATGAGTTAAAAGTAATACATGATAAATTTTCTTTGATGGTAGTAAAAATAAAAGATGAATTGCATTATCCAATTTATTTTTAAGTAAAATATTTATGTTGATATTATTTTCTTTAAATCCCAATTGGAAAGAGTCTGGGAAATTTTTGTTAAGAAATTTTTTTCACAAAAAACACAAAAAATTGTGTTGTATTTACATTGATATTGATGTTCTTTCGATAGTACTAATTTTGATCATATTGATATCGAGTCGAATGTAGTATCGCAAACTAAAGTGAATTGTAAATGTAACTTTTTAATCTATTGGAATAAAAAAACCGAAAACCGGTTTTTGGAAAAACCGGTTTTTTGGCCGGTTATAAATGCCAGGTTAAACCGTAAGCAAAAAAAAACCGGTATAACCGAAAACCGGTGTTTTGTCAAAACCTGCCATCCCTACAATAATCATAACTATCAATAATATGATTAATTCATGATTAATAAGACGGGATCTTCCTTTGTTGGTTTTACGGTGATTTTAAAATGTGTGAGCCACTGCATGAAGAAGTCTTAATTTAACCAGCCATTATGGGAGCATTTGTAAATGGTTCCAGTTGTCCACCTTTCTCTAACTAAGGTGATATTCTCTGCCTAGGATATATAAACATGGGCGGTATGTATGCACATGAAGCACTCAAAGTGCAGAGAATCGTAATATTTCTGCCTCTTTCCCAACTTGTGACAGAGCCCACCTGATGTTGGCCTGCGTAAGTCTGTCAAAATAATGCCATAAAACTGGTTTGATAGTTGATTGATGTGATTAGCTAATATAGCTTCTTGTTCTGCTAACAAGTACTATTTTCTTCCCAAGGCTGGTTTTTCGGTAAAATTAGATTTGAGACGGCCATGAAGCGTAATTCTTGGAATATTCAATTCATCAGTTACACTTTTTACGGATCGTCCACTTTGAAGCAATTCAAATGCCCTTTTTAGTGACTCCTCGTTCCATTTGCCCCCTTCCGTTGTTCTTTTTCTCGATCTCACCATCTAAAACACTTCAAAAGCAACGTCTATGGTATCAAATAACTGCATAGTTAATTTTAAAATAAATGGGGTAATACCGACACCTGTCGATATTTCCCCCCACTGGTGTGTCGGCATTACCCCTATAGGACAAGATGACGGGTACACAATTGTACATACTTAACTAAATGTTAAAATTAAATATGTACTGTACTAAAATTATCTTTATAATTTGCACTTTCTATTTTTCTAAGTGTTTTATCTTGGACGTATAAATACGTCCATGGTTTCTATAATAATATAATTTATTATAGAGTGACCTTCATATGTAGAGAAGTCAATAATTAGATCAAAAACTAATAAAACACATAACAAAACAGAAGAAAATAACTAGTTTGCTTGGATGACAGAAACTAACTGAGCGGTAACTGTGGTATCACTCGCTAAGTAACAGCACTATACAGTGACGTGTTCAACTAACAATAAAACCAAAATCCACTGTGTCGGTATTGCCCCGTATGTCTGGATTCCCCCGGTCTACCCTACTAAAAATAAAATACAGAACAATTCACATATAGAACTTACACAAAGGTGAAAACGAAGCTTTTTTTCAATAATTCCTACTTATCTTTTTCTAATAGTTAAGATTATATTTTAAACTGTTTACTTACCCGTAAAAGACCTGATTTGATCATTGCAACAAATATATCAAACTGTTTAAAATTTCCTGTTTTACGTGTTAAATTTTCTATATCTAAAAAATATTTAGAGATAACAAAAATGTTCTACATGTATTACATATTTATATTATCAGAAAATATGATTATCATCTATTATTTAGGATTATATTACAAAAATGGAACAAAAAAGGTAAATCAATATTATTCTTGCCTTCTTCAATTTTTGTTTCCTATAAATCTGAACTCTCATCATCAAAAATAGCCAGAGGATGTCAGCAGGAGGGAGTTTTATCTCCTCTTTTGAGGAATCTTGTCATGGATGGGCTGATAACTAGACTGAGCAATGAAATGCACTACGTCCTGAGCTATTTGGATCTATTTGGATTATATAGTCAACTTCAACACCAAATTTAAACTCACAGTCAAATATATAATGCAACAGGCTCTGACATAGTTACAGGATAGACTTCAAATGTAGTCCAAAAGTCCAAAATCATGAAATTTACCAGAAGGAGAAATTTAATGGGATTGGAACCTCTAGTTTTAAATCTGGTGAATGAGGTAAAGTATCTTGGGATATTAGAATGTAGGTATACTTGGAATTAGCTAATAGAACGAGTAACTAAGAGCGGTAACTACGTTAATGGTAGCCAGACAAAAATGTGGGATTTAAAACCAGACATGTTATATGACTGAACATGTTATACAGACCGGACGCTAAGTTAGGATTATATCAGCCTAGAAAACAAAACAAAAGAGATTAGATGTAGAATAGAAATCGCTAGATCAGTCTTTAATAGAATGCGCAAACTCTTTTGCAATCGTGATATCAATATAAAATTACGAATAAGAATGCTGCGGTGTTATGTCTTTTCTACCCTGTTATATGGAGTTGAGGCTTGGACACTAAAACAGTTGACCATAAAAAACATCGAAGCTTTCGAGATGTGGTGCTATAGGCGCATTCTCAGAATATCATGGATGGACCGCGTCACTAACACGCAAGTACTCCAAACTTTAGACAAAAGATGCGAAATTCTAAAGGAGATAAAAACTAGAAAGTTGGAATACTTGGGGCACATTGTGAGAGGTGAAAAGTACGAACTTTTAAGAAACAACATGCAGGGCAAAATTAAGGGCAAAAGAAGTGTGGGAAGAAGAAAAATATCGTGGCTTCGTAATCTACGTGAATGGTTCGGGTGTAGTTCGATTGAACTTTTCAGGCGCGCTGCTAACAAAGTCGCATTGGCCATGATGATTTCCAATCTCCGCTAGGAGTGGCACGAGAAGAAGAAGAAAACAAGTAGGATTTAGATCGAGAACGACCACTTACTAGTGATAAAGAACCTGTTAGAGAAGTCTGCAGAATACAACTAACTAATGGCACTGATATTTGTCGACTATGAGAAAGCATCCGATACCATACGCCACCAGAAAATATATATCTACCAAAATGCCACAGCTAGCGTAAGACTATCTAAACAATAAACAAATAAATTCTGTAAACAGCGAGGAGTATGGCAAGGAGGCACCGTTTCTTCACGACGCGTTTAGAACAAACTTGTAAGAAGGCACATCTGAACGAGCATGGTATAGACATAAATGGAGAGAAGCTCAGTCATTTGAGATTTGCAGATGGCATCTTCCTTATAGCCGATCGTACGGATGATGCTATAATAATGTTAGAAAAATTATATCACGCTTCCTTGGAGGTAGTACTAAAGATTAATATGAACGAGACGCAAATAAAGACCAATCTGGTGCTAAATAAAAATATTGCTGTTGGTGGAAGGTATATTGTGCAGACTACATCGTATAAGTACTTGGGACATAAAATTCGGTTGTATGTATTTAAATCGGATCTACCCATATGCTTCAAAAGGAAAATCTTTGATCAATGTGTGTTACCTGTACTCACTTATAGAACGGAAAGATTAGCACTAACAAAAAAGGTAATGAATAAGATTAGCGTGACTCAGAGGGCTATGGAGCGCCCTGTTGGGTGTCTCTCTGAGAGACCAAATCCCAAACGAAATACGCCGTAGAACAAAAACAACAGACGCCATTGAAAAAATCGCGTCGTTAAAATGGAATTGCAGAACAAGAAGCAGAGCGGAGCAGAGAACGCCCATCAACTAAATGGACTGACGACCTTAAGCGTGTTAGCAATAATTGAATGCAAGCAGCACAAGACGGATACCGTTGGAAAGAGCTGAGGGAGACCTATGTCCAACAGTAGACGCATACAGGTTGATTATGATGATGATGATGTTATATCGGATTTATAGCATGGTAGCAAAAGCAGCAACTACATATGCATCAATAGTGTGGTGTACTATAGTGCCACCCTTGAAATAAGTAAGGTGCAAAGACTTACTTGTCTTGCACGTGTATATGTATGGTGAGCTGAGGTGCATTATATTTTAACAAATAATAATATTGTACCGATTTTCAATACAACGAGCGGTTCTAATTTATGTATATACATTTATTTATAAGTTTACAGTACAATAGTATCTTAACAACTGAAATAGCTAATATTAGCGTTACTGATATATACAAGTTATTATGTACTAGAATATTCTAGATATTCTAATATACTAGAAGGTTCTCGAATGCAGAATGCAGGTTATATGGTCTACGTCGAAATACACAAGTTCGGTACACTGCTCCCTCTTAGATCTAAGCGTCCCGATCAGCAACTCAACATGTAGCCCCAGGATGGTGGAATTTACAGAACTCTCCAGCTCTACATGAACCGCTCAGAAAGAAATAACTGTCTACTTGTCTGTGAAGGGCACGATCTCTTTGGAATAATACAACACATAGTAATTCGTACGCCGGTTTCTCGGAAGTTCACTTCAAGCATGCTTCTGACAATCTTTCATTTAGTGCATGGCCTATCTTGGGTAAGGCTAAATTCTTGATGTCATAATTGCACACGATTTTCTTCAGATTAGTTAGAGCATGCCATATATCCTTAGAGCTTAAGCTAATAAAGCTTAGCTGTCGGTCATCTTTGATCTCATGTTGAAGGGTTCGTGCTTTTTCTGTTTCATTTAAGGTTGGAGTCTGGCATGTAGTTTCATTCATGGCCGAGCGGTAGGCCATAAGGAATAAATGAATGTGCTGGTCCCAATCTCTTTGATGTTCTGATACAACTTTGGACAGGTGTTTACCGATCGTTCGGTTCATCCTCTCTACCATTCCATCTGATTGAGGATGCAGAGGTTTCGTTCTGGCCTTATTGACGCCAATCAGTTTACATACGTTTTGGAAAAGGGTCAACTCGAAGTTTTGCCCTTGGTCGGAGTGGCTCTCCAAGAGAACAGCAAATCGGCTAAAGAATTTTGTAACAAGTACCTCTGCAACGGTAGCACCTTTTTGATTTGGTATCGCATATACCTTAGTCCATTCCGTAAAATAATCCATGGCTACCAGGATATATTTATTTTTATCATTCGTCTCTGGAAGTGGACCTCTAATGTCGATTGCTACTCTTTTCATAAGACTACCAACATTGTTCTATATCACGGGTGCCCTCTTTTTACCAACTGGACCATTACTGGTTGTACACAGTTTACATTTCCAGCACCATCATCTTACATCATCTTTACAGATCACCCAATAGAACCGTTCTCGAACCTTTTGCAGACTCTTCGTAATACCAAAGTGTCCACCTGATGCACCGTCATGCAACTGACGCAATACTTTGGACACTTTACTTTTAGGTACAATCAACTGAAGCTTAGATTCTGTACCAACCTCGTTCTCAAAGGTTCTATACAGAAAATCATCTTTTAGCACTAGGCAACTCCATTGGCTCCAGTAAGACTTGACTTCTGGACTACATGCACTAATGTCTTGCCAAGTAGGTTCCACTTCGATGCATCCAATCCAATACTCTTTTTATACATGGATCAACTGCTTGGACGTCTTGTAACTAACGAGACTGCTATTGATTATTAATGACGGTGGTTCGTCTCACAGGGCAAGGTCGTTCTTCTAATTTAAGACAGTGATTACAATTTGAACTGCACGGCCGTACGAAAGAGCATCAGCATTTAAGTGAACTCTTGCAACTCTGTGTTCGATCTCGTAACCATATTCTTGTAATCGTTCTAACCATCTTGCCATCTGGCCCTCTGGATTAAGGAAATGTAGGAGCCATTTTGCAGCAGCATGATTCTTCGAAGAAAAACCTTTCTGCTATACAAGTATTTATGGAAATGCTCGCAAGCCTTCACTACGTCTAGCAATTCTCTCCTGGTAACGCAATAGTTTCTTTCTGGTTTCGACAAGACTTTGCTAAAGTAAACGATGACTTTCTCCTGCCCGTCTTGGATTTGCGAGAGAACAGGTCCTATTGCACTGTTGCTGGCATCGGTGTCCAACACAAATTTTCCTGCCTGTCTAGGGTAGCTTAAAATCGATGAACTAATCAGAGCCATTTGTAAATGTTCGAAAGCTTTTTGATATTCTTCGTTCTATGTATATGCTTTGCCTTCTTCTGTCAACTTTGTTAATGGCTTGGAGATGTTGGCAAATCCTTTGAGAAAACGTCGGTAATATGTACATAGACCAAGAAAACTTATAACTTCCTGTTTATCTCTAGGTGCTAGCTAATCCTTAATTGCCGCAAGTTGTTCAGGATCAACTATTACACCATTACTCGCTACAATAAGTCTTAAGTACTTCACTTCTTGTCGAAACATGTAACATTTCTTCGGACTTAACTTCAAATTCGCTGCCTGCAATCGTTGAAAGACTTTTTTATTGGCATGTTCATCAAAGGATCTTTCCACCACAATTACATTATCCAAATAAACCAGCATGTTTTCCATGTTAGACCTAAAACTGCGTCCAACAATCTTTCAAATGTGGCAGGAGTATTACATAAACCAAAGGGCATAACCACGCACTGCCAAAGCCCTGATCCTATCGAGAATGCGGTTTTTTTCCCATCAGATGGCTCCATGTCTACTTGCCAATATCCACTTTTTAGTTCGAGTGTGGAGAACCAACGAAAACCAGAGAGAGAATCCAATACATCGTCTATTCTGGGTAAAGGATAACTATCTTTCTTAGTTACCGCATTGAGCTGGCGATAGTCAATACAAAGCTCGTTGAACCATCTTTCTTCTTGACTAGAACTACTGGTGATGTCCATGGACTGTTTGATGGTTCAATTACCCCTTGTTTGTTCATATATTTGATAATATCTTCGGCTTCCCCTCTTTTTTCGCGAATGGAAGTCATCTAGGTTGTTGTCTGATTTGCTGAGAGTCTCCGGTATTAATTTTATGCGTTATTATGCTTGTTTTACCCTTATTCCTCTTATCAATGGCAAAAACATCTTGAATTTCTATCAGCATTGATTTCACTTTTTTATTGCTGACAAACATGTCTTAAAATCTTTGAGTAATCTGAATCTTTACGAGATCTCAGTTTCCTTTTATAACTTCTGGGCATTTCCTGAAAACCATTTTCCTATTTAACTTTTACTCTTGGGGATACTTTGTATCATATGCAAATTGGCGGTGCAAAGTAAACCCAAATTCCACGTGTTGAGTGCACATGTAAACTATTTTTTTATTAAATGAAATCGTAGGCTTCCACGGCCAGAGTCAGAATTATAGTTTATTCGTCTTCCGGGTTTAGACCGTGTTATTTGTGAGTGACCCAAAAGTAGGTTCATCTCGACGTTTCGCTACAATTGTATGTAGCTTCTTCAGGAGAACAAAGAAAAAGAAATCAAAAGACAGGAAGATGGGTAGTTAGCAACGGTAACTCAGTTACTCAACGCAACCAGAGGCGAATACCAACTACCAAGATGGGCATTTGGTCACAGTAACTCAACTACTTAACGCAGCCAGAGGTGAAAACCAAATGCCAGGACAGGGATTCACGTCCAACAGCTCAGAACATTAACGCGTCGAGAGGCGGGGAGTAAATCCGACGATTACTCCGCTACCGCTCTATTTATAGTCGCGGTGACCTGTCGTGTCGGGACGTATCGGCACACTCCGTGGCGCGAACGTCAAGAAGCGCGCGCTGGCCAATCATATGGCTGCATCGTGGTAGCGGGACCGGACGGCGGCTCTAGACTGAGATTCCAGATGGGAGACAAGTAGTATCCTTCCTCTCGATTGATATTATGTGGATTTTTTCGGATCTCTAGAGATTCGCGGATTTTCCTGGAATAAAAGAAGGGGCTCTTAGAAATAATATGGGTTTTTTCGAACAATATGGAATGACCGGTTTCTTGGAAGTGTTCTGCAACTGCAGAATGGGAGAAATGACCTGATCGAATGCATCTTTGATGCTCTTGAATCCGAGTTTTGACGAAACGACCAGTTTCGCCAATATACACATGTCCACATGAACAAGGAATAGAATAGACACCACAGGAAGATAGGGGCGGTAATGGGTCCTTAGGAGAGGGTAGATATTGTGAGGTTTTCTTGGGTGGTCGAAAAGTAGTCATGATATCTTCTTTGCGAACAATTTTGCCAAAATTATTCTCTGTAATATCTGTAATAAAGGAAATTGAGATAGTGTTTCCCGTTGTGGGGCATTCTTATATTCCCCCTGATCGTGTGTTTGGACAAATTGAAAGAATTTATAAAAAACATACGGTAATTGTTCATCCTGATGAATATGTAAAGTTAATCAAAAAGTTTGCCACTGTTTACGGAGCTGGAACTGGTGTTGCAATTAAGGACTGGAAGGCTGAAACTCAAAAGAATAAAATAACCAGGCTATTGGCCTTTTAAGGTCTAACTGTCAAAGAGAGTAATCATTATAAGAGGACAAACAGTACCACTTATAAGGGGTGAGGTATTTTACAAAACTGACTTATGCGCACTCAAAAGCTTATGCAATGGAGGTAAAAAAGTCTCACAAATTAGTCCAAGAACACTGAAAGCTGGGATAGCGATTAAAGAAGATAAGAAAAAAAGTATTACTAAGCTATTGGAGAAACACTACGAAAGGGTATGGCAAGATAGAGATTAACTGGTCTTTTTCAAAGAAGTATTCCACGAAGCTATAGAGGAGGGCAAGGCAGTGAGGCAAATGAAGAGAAAGATAATTGCGAAACAGAAACAGTTAGCTTTGCAATATAAAATAGTGGATAAATGTTATCTTGCGTTAGACTTATTTTTCTAATAGATTTCGATTTTCTTTTTTTTCAAAATATTAAATTCATCTGCAAACACCGACATGTCCAAAATATAGCATACAATTACCTGTTTCTTTGGGCCCCAAGATTTTTTCAAAGTGTTTTTTGATGTATTATTATCAAAAATCTCAATTTTCACAAAAAGTCGCTGCTTAATTTAATAGGATATACATTTTACAAGTTTTTCTTCATTATCTCAAATCTCATTTACCTGGTGTTTTGAATCTAGGCGACTGATATATTAATATTATTATTTATGTGATATGTTTTGTATTATTTATTAAATGGTCATAATTATTTTAGGCTTTTGTATTTCAAAATAATCACTGTATGCCCGACAACTGTCAATTTTGAAATCCGTTAGTGTCATGTCTAATTGGTAAATCTTGTAGGTGTTTGGTTCATACACTGGTGTACGTGAGTTCGAATCCCAATATGAATTTCCTTTTTTAATTTTGAAATATTTCAAAACCTCACGTTAATGTTATTAAATATATGTAATATATGCAAAAATGCTAAATTTTAAAATAAAAATGAAAATTTACAACATAATTCGACTTGTTGGTTTTTTATTTTTATCTTCGTAAAGTAAGTTATGTATATTGGCAGTTTTAAATACTTATGAATATTGCATTTTAATTTGTATTGTATTATAAATATTGAATTATGTTTCAGTGTATTGTATTGTAATTTTTATATTAATAACAAAATAAACAATGAATTTTACTGCAGAGTATGTGTAATTTTTTTTTGCATTCAACTCCTTTTATATATATATATATATATATATATATATATATATATGAAAATAAAAATATATATTTTCATTAAAATATTGATACAATTCTTCATTTACTATACTCCTATTACAGGTCGAATGTTTATATACAGCAAACGATGCACCATATATCTATATATCTAATTCTTTCTCTCTTTCTGCTCTCCCTTACCTATAGCATTAAATATGTAAAGATCGTGTAAATTGACTCCCACATAAATTTGTAACGGCGAACGCGTGTATAGAAGTATAACTTCTACCGGCAGTCTCACTGGACTGCCAAACCCGTTTTTTATTTATCTCTTAATAATCGTCATCCCCCTATATTGTCATTTTTTCAAAAAATATTCGTAACAAATATATAAAAGATATATTATTGTTAATTTTTTTAACATGGTTAGATACAAACGAAATCAAAAATGTAAGATGTAATCGGTAACAGATGAAATGCAACTAAGTGGAACACGTAGCTTGATAGAACATTGGACAAGAAACAATGATAACACAAAGGTAGTTGAAGACGACTACAGAAACGGTGACTAGATGAATCAAAGCTATAGTGGGTAGATCTTAGCACCAACCGGCAGAGAACAGATAAAAGTGGAATGCTCAAGAGTAGGCCTACATCCAAAAGCCGCTGGCGCTGAAAGCAGGCTGACTAAAGAAGAACGACAAAATAATAACCTATATTTTAGACATTTTCAAAGAATATTAATTATAATTTCAGAAAACATTTTAGAAAGATTACAATTAATTAAGTAAACTAAAACTTACAAGATGCATCGTAGCTACATTGCCATTCTTCGCCAGAACTTTTGTCAGTTATTAATATTTCTAAATTATTACATATTACATTCATTTTAAATAAAAATTCCTCTCCGTGGAAGTTGCATGTTGTAACCAAATTAGGATCACCCATAGTGTAAAAGTTTATTTATACTGGTAAAAAATAGAAAACGTTGACATTATTATGTGTTATTTATGTACGTAAGTCTTATTCTATATTTCTTTAAAATCGGTTGTCAAATTGACATTTTCTCGTGATAACCATCATATTTCAACCAACCAACAATTATTTTCATTGTTTGTTCGAAATAGTATAAAATAAATATTAAGGACGGTGCCATATAGCATTTTTTTATTATATAATGGCTTTGGTGTAGCCAATTAGCCAGACTATAATGTTAAGTTACTTTATCTTTATAATAAATTTACTAACATATTATTTTCTTAATGACTTTTTCCTAATTTTCTGTCTTTATATATATATATATATATATATATATATATATATATATATATATATATATATATAAATGAACTAGAAGTATTTGCTGACAACAAGGAAGTAAATTTTCAATATTGGGTTTGCAGCAATAAAAATGATACGTGTACTCTTTTAAATTTTTATTCCGAGCTTTCGGAATAAAATAGCATAGAAATTAGCATAGATATATAGGAATAAGTTTTATGTAAAAATATGACAGACTGTGATAAGTTTTATCGACATGGTAGAAAATCATTGATGATCCAACCTCATTAAGTTTGTAAGTAGCGAATCTTTAATTAATTATACAAACGTGTAACAAACTATTCATTACATTTGTAGCTCCCTGATGAAGGACATTGAAGGACATTGAAGGACAAGGAAAGATTGAAGGTAGGCGCAGCATAGGTAGGAGAAGAATGTCATGGTTGAGAAACCTCAGGGAGTGGTTTGCTTGCACTTCCATACAATTGTTCCGAGCGGCAGCCTCCAGGGTCAAAATTGCCATGATGATAGCCAACCTTCGTAGCGGAGATGGCACGTGAAGAAGAAGAAGATGAAGGACATAACCATGTCCGAAAGCTCGGAATAAAAATTTAAAGAGTACACGTATCATTTTTATTGCTGCAAACCCAATATTGAAAATTTACTTATATATATATATATATATATATATATATATATATATATATATATATATATATATATATATATATATATATAATTAATGTGATATTAATAGTCTGAGGTGCGTTAATATCTATGCTTTACATATGATAGGTAAGGTCCAAAGAATACCGGAATAATAAAAAACATATATGATACAACTGTTACGATAATAAATATTGTGGCGTATAAAACTGTAAATATATTATGACTAATTCTTTTCTATTTCTAGTAATTTCGGCGTTCATTCCCGTTTACCTGCCGGCAAAAATTACTAGACCCTTCGAGACCAGCCCATGAGTCACCTAATGGATGGAAGGTAATCGATGTATCGCCAGACCCTTCTAGATAACGGCATTTTATATAAATACCGGGGATTTTCATTGAGGAGGACAGTTAAGTGTAAAATAAATTAGTAGTAATAAAGACTTTGATAAATTTGTGAGTGTTATAAATATTGAACCTTTAGTAAATTAAGATAAGAACAATAAATTAGAATTAATAAAGACTTTACACAACATTACATATTGAAATAAAAATATATTGAAATAAAATTCACACTCAAATATCTTCAATAAAAATATCTCATATAATGATTATCAAAATTTTGTTCTACGTACGTGAACCTTCAAAAGTTAATGGTACATACAATATAAATTAAAATTTCAAATCAAAATTATTGTTCTATATCTCCTGATCAAAATATTCCCATCTTTTCTAAAGCAATTGTAAAGAATTGTGTTGTTAAAGAAAACCTGATGAATAGTAAAACTATCTCTCTGATGATGAGTTGTCCAAATCATGAATCTCTCGTTCTGGCCTGAACAGTGACTCTTGGAATATAAGTAGAAAAATATAACTTACAATATTTTACTGGATCAGCTTCAGTCAGATAGACTAACTCCACGAAACTCACAAACATTCACTTCTGCTGCTTCCTACCTCTGGGGAACCACCAGAGAACAACGACTGTTCGCCTCGTATCCTTGGAAACCAACCGATTATCTTTTTTCCCTAAAAAATTTAGCTAACTCTCATTCTTACAAACCATCCCACTTTTTTCAATCTCCTCCAATCAAAGCTCGTCATACGTATCCCCATCTCTTCATTCAGATAACAAACAACAATTTTTACCTACAATTATAAATTTCCTAAAAACTATTACCATTGTAATCGGTTTCTACAAATTCTTAAGAACTAACGGAGAAATATATTTTCTAAATATTCTATTGTATTGTCTTATTCACTGTACAAGTCCATTTGGAAAACCCGCTCGCATTGTTCATGGTTTCACTAAGCTCACTCGAATACATTTTACAAAGAAAAAACTACGACCGTCAATTTATATTAATAAAGTATTCAACTAGTGAATTCAGAGGTTTAATCGGTCATTCAGGTTGGCAAAATAAAAAAAGAAGTCTTATAGAAGACGTTTCGCTTTATATTTCTAAAGTCTCATCAGTTCTCTCAAATACAAAGATGACATAGAGTTTATAAGAAATACAGATCTAATAATTTATAACTTACAACTCAATATGTAGTATATTAAAGATGTTATTATAAGATACGAAGATTTAAAAAAATTTTAAACGAACATTTGGCTTCATTTAGAGATGGTTCTCCAATGAAGACAAACAAACACTGATTTATTGCAATCCATTGCAATCTATACAAACGATGTGACGCGATACCGAAAATTTTTAAGGGCCATATATTCAACAAATTCCAAGGTTTGAGACAATTATGAACTTCTACGGGGGTCATTGAATGATTAGTTGGACAGGTGGATTTGTATATGACGGAAAAATTTGATATATTTTTTTGTGATTTATGTTTTAATGAAACTTAGAGATATGGGATGATTGTGTTATTATTTTGAATGGAAAATAAGGTTATTTTAAATGATGAATTATTGGTATTATTTATTTCGTAAGATGAGAGAGTGGTAAACTCAAATTGTCGATGTCGGTTCTTTTGTTTAATTCAGATGGGTTTTTGAGGATCTCACACATTTCAGTAAAGGAGCGTTTCTGATGGTTATTTTGTTTCGCCAGTGTTTTAGTATTTGAGAAGTCAATGTGATGTTTGGTGGAAATGGCGTGTTGTGCAAGGGCACAAGAGGGTTTGGAAAGTCTAATGTCGCTTTTATGTGAAGTTATACGCTCTAGAAGTGACCGACTGGTCTGGCCAATGTAGCAGGAGTTGCATTCAGAACAGGGAATCTGATAGACAACATTGGTGTGGTCTAACGAGCTTAGTGGAGTTTTAGAATGGAGAATAACTTTCCAGTTGTTTTAGTGTTTTTTAGGAATATTTTGATGAGTAAGTTTTTGAATAGTCTAGTAAGCTTGTTCGTAATTTGCGGGAAATAGGGAAAAGAACCATATTTTGTGGCTGGTTTTGGGGTTAACGGGGAATTGTTCGTCTGTATGCTATTGGACATGGAGGCTAGTATTGCACCGTTAGGTGCTTCCGAAATAGAATGACCATAGCTTTTAGAGAAACGATATCTGTTGATGATGGATATGGGGTAAGAGTTATCAATGAGAATAGATTTGAGTAAATCCAAAGATTCCCTCTTGTACCGCGTATGGGTCAACGTCAACTTTTTTTCTAAATAATTTCAGTCATTTCATCCACATGATAATTATGGATTTGCAGTGGTGGGTATGCGTTGAGGGTTAAAATGCCATAAAAAATAAAGTAAATTTTTTAATATTTTTTACTGTATACTGTGGGTACTGAACGATTATTTTAACCCTCAAATAATATTTTAAATCACTTATGCCATTACAATGTGTAGGTATAAAAGCAATCATTAAAAGTAGGTATTAATTAATTAGTCAAATTCAATACATAATATGATTATGAAAAACTAATAGTTATGTTTTTACAGATTTTCCTTAAAGAATTCAAAAATATTACATAAATAGGTTAATCAAATGCATGTTGTAGACTGGATGACCACAAAAAATACCAGGTTATATTCTAAACATTTTGAAAAAAAAAATGGTTTTATAAAAGTAGGAACAAAACCCATTTATTAGATGATGCAGTTCCAACAATATTTCCGACGAGATTCCAAAATATGTTCAAAAGTAAAACTATAGCAATTAACTCAATGAAGTTTTTAACTATTTTTATTAGAAAATGTTGTTAACAATCGAACATTTTCAGATAAGTATTAGATATAAATAACCCTATAAACATAAATTGTCTTTGTATTTTGAAATTATCTAAAATAAAGTTCAGAACATCTTTTATACTTCCGTTAACTGCTACTGCTACGAGTGATCTTAAGAGCACAGGTCAATAGCACTGAATTTTTTCTATAAGAACAATAGATCTTTGTTAAAACCAAACGTTCTTCTTCGGGTGGCAAATTAGAATTATCCGGCGTTGGCCATCACCACTGCGAAGGTTTCTCGATCTTCTACAATATGGAATAATTGTCCTGCATTTGGTATCTGAGTCCAGTCATCATTATCAATGGTGCAACAGCCCTATGAAAGAGCCTCGACCTTCCCAAGTCTATTACGCCAGGCAGTCCTATCCATTGCCAACCGTTGCCAGTTTGCTGCGCCTATCTTTCTACCATCCTTATCTACACCATCCTTCCATCTGAGTTTTGGCCTACCCCTTTTTCTACTTCCCACGGGTTGTGACATAAGGATTCTTCTAGGAGGGTTGTTCTGCTGTGATCTTGCTAGATGTCCTGCCCATCTTAGTCTTCCTATTCTTATAAGAGATACTACGTCTTTACCACCAAATATTTGTTTATATCTGTGGTATACCTCGTAGTTGTATCTCCTTCTCCAAACACCATTTTCACAGATGCCACCAAATATTCCTCTCAGGATCCTTCGCTCAAATATAAGCAAAAGGTCTTCGTCTGCCTTGGAGATGGTCCATGTCTCCGATCCATATGTCAACACTGGCTGTATAAGGGTTTTGTATATACCTAGTTATTTTTGTTTTTTGGCTTAAGTTTCTACTTCTCATATGTCTACTCAGTCCAAAATAGCATCTGTTTGCCATTACTATCCTTTGCTTGATTTCTT